ACAAAAATTCAGTGTAAAAATCAGTCACTTCAAAATAGACAATGCTACGAAACTTAGAAAAAAGTAACAAATAATAAGAAATATGTAATACATGAAACATTTTATAACAAAACTTTAATGATAAGGATTCATTGTTATTAGTCACTCCTGGTATAAACTATACCATGAGAGAGTAAAAAAAGAAGAAACAAATAGTAACAAGCAGTACATAAAACATCATTTTAAAACCAACTTCAAATGATAGACTTAGTCAGATTAGTCACTTCTGGAATTTTAAACTACACTATAAAACTTACAAAAAAGGAATAATTAGTATAAACTTAGAAAAGCATGACAAATTATTTCACAATGAACCTCTAAATACAAAGAATCAGTCTGATTATATATTTCTGGTATTTTATTTACTATGAAAATAAGAAAAGAAAAAATAAATGCTTGTAAATATGATCATTACAAAACCAAACATAACTGCTAAAACCTGAGTCATATCAGTCGTTTCCGGTATAAACATATACACATTGTTTTAGAATCAACCTCCAATGATAAAAACTTGGTCTGATCAGTCTCTTGTGTTTTCAACCATACTATGAAACTAAAAAAGAAACAAGTAGTGAGACGTAATTCCTACATGAAACATTTTTTGATAATTTTAGATGTAAAACTCACTCTGTCAGATCAGTCACTCCTCGTATAAACTTTAGAAACATAGTGAGAAGTGAGTAGCACATCAAGCATCATCTTAACACGAATTTCAAATGCTAATATTTAACTCGGTCTCATCAATATAAACTTTACTATGAAACAGAGAAAAGGGAGAGAAAGTACGTAAACATGACACAATATCAAAAACCAACCTCAAGTGACAAGAACTGAATATTTTTAGCATTTTAGAATATACAATAAAATTAATGGAGAAAAGAAGAAATTGTGAGGAATAGTGCATCACAAATTTTGAGTGTTAAGAACTCAGTCTCATCAGTCACTTACTGAATAAACTTTACTATAAAAGTGAAAAAAAAAACAAATAGTGAGATGTCAGGAGTAACTCAGTCTAATCAGTTACTTTAAACTATACTATGACACTGAGAAAAGAAAAAACAAATTCTGAAAAAAACGAAATCACTAAAACATGAAACATCTCAAAGACAAACCTCAAATCATGAGAACTCTGTGAACCGTCACTTCTGGTATTTTAAACTATACTATGGAATTGAGAAAGATAAAACAAATACTGGGACATGGCTAATACCTAAAACATGGATTAAAAGTGAAACTTACATTTAAGTCTGATCTATTACTCCTGGCATAACCTATAGTATTAGCTGAGAAAAGAACAAACAAATGCTGAGATTTGAACTCAGTCTGATAAGTCACTTCTGGTACTTTAAAACCATATTATGAAACTGAACAAAGAAGAGACAACTAGGGAGAAGTCAGTGCTACATAAAAAAGCATTCTAAAGCCAAACTCAAGTAATAAAACTTTGTCTGGTCTTGTATAATAATACTTTACTATGAAAGTGAAAAAGGTAAAACATATAGAGAGACTTGAGTAGTACATAAACATTTTAAAACTAATTTTAAAAGTTATTAAACCAGTCTGATCAATCACTTCTGTTATTTTAAACTGTATTATGAAACTGAGAAAAGAAAAAACAGTTACTAACAAATAAGTAGTACAGAAATTATCATTTAAGAAAAACTTAAAGTATAAAAAAAACTAACACTGATCAGTCACTCCTGGTATGAACTATACTATGAAACTGAAAAACAAATAAGCAAATCATGAAAATTGAAAGAACACATTATTTTAGAATCAACCTCATATGATGAAGAAACCGGTGTAAAAAAGTGGCCAATCTGTGTTTTTAACTTTGGCCATCAAGAAATGTGAAATTTGATTCTTTGTTTCAATTTCTGCTTATAGAGCAAGATTACAGAAAATTTGGA